TACAAATTCAAAATCTTTATGGTACAAGTTTAAAAATGAGAAGAAATTTGATTAGTAAATTAGAAGGTTTGGTAATTACAGTAGAAAATTTTGAGGCATTAGAGGAGACTAAAGAGGTATCTTATTTCAGTTGAGATTTTACTAATATCTTATGAGGATTATGTTGTGTGAAATTTTTTATTACTATTGTATTGTTTAATTTCTATTTGATTACCAATTATTATTTTTATTAATGAGGGATACAATCATTTCTACATCCCTCTATCCCCAATGTGGGTTGTAGCGTTGATGTGAAGCCATATCTCTCATATAACAATCATCTTATATAACAATTATGAGGATTATGTTGTGTGAAATTTTTTATTACTATTGTATTGTCTAATTTCTCATTGATTACCAATTATTATTTTTATTAATGAGGGATACAATCATTTCTACGTCCCTCTATCCCAATAAAAATAAAAATAATGCTTATCACAATAAAATCATGTTATTCCAATCATATTATTCCAATGACTTATCGTAACCAATTATTTATCATGTTGAAATTAAAGTCTAATCATGTTAGTGTCAAAGACATGCAAAATAAGTAGAAAATTGTGTCACCATGACTTTAGAATGGTACAAGTTGATAATAGAAAATATTTTTGGAAGGTGATGATGTTATTATTAGAAAATCTTTTTAGAATAGTGCCAATTTCACATTTCAATGGAATTTTGTCACCAAAAAGACAGAAATGATAGTTTATAGGCCCATATTTCTTCTAGACATAACCAAACAGTGGCAATGTATTTACCATGTTGCATCGAAATACTACCTAAACCGTAACCATCAAAATACTACTCAAACAGTAACAATCCATTTGCAGGTAATGTATTACTCAGTAATAACGTTACTTTAGTAATATTATTATGACAATAATATATTTTACGGACAATATATTTTCAAGCATCCAAACGATATTTAAATCTCTCCCTTAAAATAAAATATCTCTTTGGTTAAATCACTCTATTCCATTCTCTCTCTCAATAATATCTCTCTCACTATCTTTCCCAAGACCATTTTCTCTCTCCCTCCATTCTTTTTTTAAATCTTTTCCCTAAAATAAAATATCTTTTTTTAAATCACTCTTTCGCTTTCTCTCTCAATAATATATCTCTCTTTCCCTGAACGCTGTATTTCATTCGCTTCTTTCCTTAAATCATTAGGCAAGAGAAATACTTTCGCTATTCTTGCAGTTTTTTTTTTCCTAATTGCCCCCTATCTTTCTCTCACAATTCTCTCTCTCCCTATCTTTTTCAACACTATATTTGTCTTTTCCGGTCTTCTTTCCTTAAATCTCTCCCCTAAAATAAAATCTTTTTCCTTGAATTACTCTCCAGTTCTCTCAGTAATATCTCTCTCTCCATTCTCTCTCTCCCAACGTACATTCTCTTCTTTTCTTAAATCATTATCTCTCGCAATAATATCTCCCTCTCTCGCTCTCTCTCATTCTCTTCACCAAAAATAAATCTCCCTCTTTCCTTAATTCCCATTCTCCCATTCTCTCTCTTAATATAGAAATGAATTCAATTTTTTCTCTTACTTTTTCTTTAAATCTTTTGCACACCTCTTTCCTATCTCTATCACCTCTTTTCTAAAATATCTCATACATCATCTTTTCTAAAATCTCTCTCTCTCTTTACTTTCTATATTTTTTTTATTTTACACACTCTTTCTAAAATCTCTATACTTTTTCTTTCCAAATGGCCTCTTTCTATTTCTCTCTCCCTCTCAAACAAACTCAAATCTTTTTTCTTTTACCCTTTCTTCAAATCTCACACACCCTCTTTCATATCTCTCTCTTTCCAAAAATATAACACTCTTTTCTAAAATCTTACTCTTTCTTTCTTTACTCTTTACAATTGCTCTATTACACGCACCCAAGTACTAATTAGTCTAAAAGGTATACATCTCTCTCAATGTGGTCACTCTCTCTAATGCCCAACCTTAACAATATATGCTTCTAACTTGATCATAAAAATGAATTATTTTTAGTTTTTGATTAATTAAGTAGTAATGAATTATTTTTTACTTTTAGGTCCATTAACGTTAACTTTTACTTTGTAATATTGTTCTTTCCCAAGCCTTTGATGCTTTTCTCTACACAGTCAAATCACATAATTTACATGGGCAGCTAGAGGTGAGTTTATTAATATTTTTTTAGATTTCCTATTTCCTTGAAATAGTTTTTCTACGGATATTTCAATGAATAATATTTTTCCCAATCCTTCGCATGAGTTGGAATGGTTGAAAAATGGAAAACTGTTAAATTGTTGACAACATAGGAAATTCTCTACAAACATAGATGCATACAATGAGTACATCTCTAAACTTTGCTTTCTTGAAACCATATCTCTATGTGTGTACTGACTATGTTGAAATATATGCACTAATTTAGCACTGAAATTATAATATATTAGTAAATTTATTCTCTTTTTGGTAAATTATAATATACTATCTTAAAAAATAATATCAATACAAATAAATCATCATTTTAAGTGTTTTTGTAATCAATATAAGTGAAATTATAATATTTATTAGTAAATAATTATTTCTAGCCAAAAAAATTTGTTGCCTAAAAGTATAAATAATTATAGTTTATTTTATAAAAATATGAAAATAATATAAGACAACATAATCCAAATTATGAAATAATGTTATATAAATTATTTTTTGTAAAAAAATATATATATTTTAAAAATAATGTAATAATTTTATTTTTCATTTTTTTGTATTTTGTATTTTTTTTGTTTTGTTTTTTTGTTTTGTTTTGTTTTTTTGTTTTGTGTTGCTTTGTTTTTGTTTTTTGTTTTTTGTTTTTTGTTTTTTGTTTTTTTTTTTTTTTTGTTAATTTTTAACATCCACAACGAAATTGAAAAAAAAAAAAATCTCTATCACTTTTATTTATGCAATTTGAATTATTTAATTGTTTTTGTTTTAATTTGTGCCAAATGGATATGTGTTAAGTAAATATTTTTAATATACTGTATTAATTGTAATTATTTGATACAATATTCAATTTTAAAGATTCCTCTGTTTAAAGTAGATTTTATAATTTTTTTGGTATCTGTTAATCTTATTTTATCATAAATAATATATTTATTTATTTATTTCTTTTATGGTTTTAAAAAATCATAATTATTTAATATTGTGAGGATAAAATTCAAGAATCTTACGCCATGTTTTATTGAAAATATTTATCAATAATAAATATGTTTCAGTCATTAATATTAAATATAACGTGCAACGTATGTGCGTATTGCTAGTTTTATAGTAAGTCCTAGGCTTTGCGATAAAAAGTAAAGCGACACTTCAAAAACCCCACTGAAAATGTAATTTCGGTGCTGTAAAACCCTCAAGTTGATCATTTTAATTACAAAAATTGTGGACATTGAAAAAAAAAAAATAGTGTAGCTAATAAGATATTTAAACCGTTTATTTTCAAAGTCTTTACATAAATGCTAGATTTGCACAATTTTTGGAGCTTAATTTTCTAGCCATCATAGGTTTGTCAACATTGAAACTATATATTCGGACAGGCCGTGATATGCGGTTCTACTTTTTTTTCTAAAACCTACGCCTAGCATCTACAGGCCCTATGCTAAGAGCTCACCTCTTAGAGAGCTACTTCTAATACAAGTACTCGGTATAGAAGTTCTATTCCCCCCATCCAGCCATCCTATTTACCAGGGAAATAAGATATTGATCATTTGATCTAGATTTGACGTCTCATAGTAGTTTATTTTTAGCTTTTACCATACAAATTATATAAATATAAAATTTCGTATGTGTCATCATCTTAAAAGTGCACATCTAATAAAAAGTAGAAAATATTTTTAATAAAATATAATTACCAAAATCCTCTTGAAACTTTCAATGTTATTTTGATCATTTTATTGTGAGTATTATATATATATATATATTTCAGATCTTAGTTTAAGAAAGGAGTGGGGGCCCAAACTTTGGTGTCAAAATGTTTTGTAGAAACAAAACTAAAAAAAAACAATGTAGATTAGGGGAAGTATAGAAAGCTTCATCCA